TCCCTGGAGATATTCAAGGAGAGGCTCGATGAGGCCCTGGGCAACCTGGTCTAGTTGGGGGTGTCCCTGCTGACTGCGGGGAGGTCGGACTAGATGACCCTTGGAGGTCCCTTCTGGCCTGGGCAATTCTATGATTCTATGATTCTATAACAAAACCGGCTAAGGACACGTACTCCTTCTCTGCGCTCTCACAGAAATCCCCATAAAGGGACAAGGATTTATTTTTTTTGCTTTTTCTACTGAGCTCAAACTCAAAAGCGTTCACTAGAGAACGTGGCTGAGGGTACTCACACTCTTTATGATCAGAGGGTAGCGGGTGATTCTCTGCATAGGTTTCAGGAGGAAGCTGGAGAGGGGCATTCCTTTGCAGCGAGGGTCCAGGGCAAGTTTCTATGGTGCAACCCAGAGATTTAACACAGACATCACATTACTCATCAAGAAACAGCTGCCTCACTGCACTGAAAACTGTCTGATCAGATTCATTTTTCCAGGCATTCCAAGAAATCTTAGCTTTTTCAGCAAGCAACCAATATTGTATCTAGAACAAACAGGAAAGCTGGCACTGTCATTGTACTCAGATGCTTTGACAGCACAAGCCTCAGGATCACTGTTCATGCAGAATCCTTACATTCAAACCCGTCCCAGCTTTTATTTTCACATCCCAGGCTCTGCTCACGTTTTGAAAACACAAAGCAATGAGAGAAACAAACGCCTGATGTCAACAGTTCTGGCCTTTCTCCTTTCAGGGCCTCAAAGCCCCTGCATCAGCTGCAGCGTGGCAGCAAGTCCTCCTTTAATTCTGCAGCATGTCTGCCTGTGACACTCAGGTGACACCTCTCTCCCCGGCAGCCACCCCACTGCTCGGACACACCACAGGCCCCACTGAATTAGAAGCACATTCAGGACAACAGCTTTTTTTTAATTCCAGCTCCCCAGGCTCTCACTCCATCTGACAGCATGAATTTTTGGGAAGGTGCAGGCACTTTGTGGGGTTAGTGTTACACTGAAGTAACGAGCAATGGAATGGGGAGTAATAAATTAGCTAGAAAGACAGGTATATAAATAAAAAGCGCACACAGCATTAACCATGATCATCATATAAATACACCTTGGAAGGTTTTTAACTATTTTGGCAAGATTTTACTCTTATGGGTTATTTTGATCTGGTCGATGGTGGTTAGAGGGGCTCCTGTCATTGAGGATCCCAGCTTTTATTTTCAGCTATTGAGCAGGCTCTGCTCACGTTTTGGAAACACAAAGCAATGAGAGAAACAAACGCCTGATGTCAACAGTTCTGGCCTTTCTCCTTTCAGGGCCTCAAAGCCCCCGCATCAGCTGCACCGTGGCAGCAAGTCCTCCTTTAATTCTGCAGCGTGTCTGCCTGTGACACTCAGGTGACACCTCTGGCCCCAGCAGCCACCCCACCACTCAGACACACCACAGGCCACACTGAATTAGAAGCACATTCAGGACAACTGCTTTTTTTTTATTCCAGCTCCCCAGGCTCTCACTCCATCTGACAGCATGAATTTTTGGGAAGGTGCAGGCACTTTGTGGGGTTAGCATTACACTGAAGTAACAAGCAATGGAATGGGGAGTAATAAATTAGCTAGAAAGACAGGTATATAAATAAAAAGCACACACAGTGTTAACCATGGTCATCATATAAATACAACTTGGAAGGTTTTTAACTATTTTGGCAAGATTTTACTCTTATGGGTTATTTTGATCTGGTCGGTGCTGGTTAGAGGGGCTCCTGTCATTGAGGAAAGGAGAAGGCACAACAGCTACTGAATAAAATACCTTTAAGTAGTCTTTGAAATCAGCATCTTCATCGGTTTTCTGCTGCAGCAAGGAAGCCCCGTTAAGCTGGCAGCTGCAGAACCGAATGTAGGCCTGCATGTGAGAGAGCTCTGCTGCCAAGATGTCCCCGATCATCTGCACTGGCATTTTTTCTCCTCCCGTTTTCTTACGCACTCGCAAGGCTCTGAAGAGGAAAGAAATCACCGTCCAGCTTGGCTGCCAAGTCTGTGAGGCCGAAATCAAGAAGATCCTGACAACACCCATCTCTGAAAGGCCGCACGCCGGCGCGGTGAAACCCCTGACGCAGCACGGGCACTTCCAGGCTGGGACCTGAGCCCCCACCCAGCACCACACGCCGAGCTGAACCACCTCCCTGGTGGGGTCTGTGGGACTCAAGACTCTCCTTGGAGGTTTCTGGGACAATGGGCATCAATCTCTACATTCAACCAGCATCCCGTTTCTACGAATTATTAGCCACTTTGTCTCTTCAGTGTTTATTTTTAGAGAACAGAAGGTTGCTCTGCAGAAAACGGGGAAGAAGGCCTCCCATGCACATGCTTTTGTGTAGGCTCTAAGATATTATAGCAAGTGTGCATCTGTTCTTGCTGTTTATTCCCCCCTCTCTCATAACAACTCCTTCTTTGTGAGGTTGTCTGAATGTATTTAGCTGTTCTGAATGCACGTGTGCACAGGAAATCATCAGCAAGGACAGAAATATTTACTGTAACACCAGAAAACTTCCTGGGGAAAGGAGCAAGAGAACAAAGATAAAGAGAAAAACATAAAAACGTGGGTCAGTACTCACTTCAGTAGCTTTGTATTTGACATGATGAGTTCCTTCCAGTTAACAAAGATCAGCCCCATCTCTCCTTCGGTGAGACAGCCCGACTCGGCCATTGGCTTTTGGAAAACCTGCAGTGAAAAAACCAGAAAGCGGAGAAATTCTTCAGAGGCAGAAGCAGCTCAGCCTCTTGTTTAGCCTGGCAGTGATTATGCTTTTTCTGAAGGCTCAGTGTCCAATCTCCCAGGAGAAGTTAAAAGCAATTCCTTACTAGTGCTTGTGACAGCTACATCCTAAGTTTTCCTAAGAGTGTGACCTCATTCTGACACCGCCATCCCTGCTTGTGAAGCAGGGACAAGTGGGACCTGCAGGCTGAGGGAGCAGAGGAGCTTTCCCATCATTGTGGAGTCAACTGCTACACAAATGGCACTGATGCATCATAGAGAATCACAGAATTGCCTCGGCTGGAAGGGACCTCTCAGATCATTGAGTCCAACCATCAACCATCACCGAACTGTATCGCTCAGCACTACATCTACCCATCTTTTAAGCACCTCAGCCTGCGTGCAGAGCTACAGTTTCTTTCAGAGACCCTTGGCACAACAGAAAACCTGTATATCTCACTCTATTTAACTCCTTGAACACTTCACTGCAGAGTTGTTTTACACAGAGAGGTCAAGTCAGACTCCTGAGACCACCTAACGCCGGCCAGTTTCCACCCTGCCCAGTGAGGTGGTTTGGCTTCCAGAAATAAAATAGGAGATGAAGGCAGACAATAAACTTTTGTGGTGCTTACATAGCTTCTGTCACGAGCCTGTGCTGCTCTGCCAGACAGCCCAGCCCAGCCCAGCCCCTTCACACAGCGGAAACACCCGAGAACAGGTTGTGGAACACTTGTAAGATGACAGCTTTCACAACGTGAGGTTCATGCCTGGTGGACAACCACGTAACACTCACTAGAAAGGGAAGTGCTCACACAGCCTCACTTTTTTCCTTTAGCATTTCACCATTCCTAAGAGTCCCTTTCTGGCTATTACTCAGTAAGACAGAGGTGTTCTTTTTCCAGGTGCATTTCCACACCCAAGACATCTCACCTCTAAGACGAGCTGCAGGTCATCCATGTACCTTTCTTCTGTCTGGATGAGTTCATGAATGTAGCCCTGCCTTTTCCTTTCCATCGGCTGCATCGTGTCAAGGCTCTGGAGATCAGCACACCCTACAAGAAGGAAGCCAGCAGTTTAGATCCCACTCAGGCCATCGGATCTGAGGAATTAATGAAATTGCATCAACACACAGCAGCCTTTGGTTCAGTCTATATACCCAGCATTTCTCCTTAAAAACCCTGTCCCCAGCTACAGTGGGTTTCAAAATCCAGTGACGTAGTGACCAACCCCCTCCCCACTTTATGTCATTTTTCAATCTGTCACCTTTTTATTTCTTCAAACATCCCTTGTTCTTGTACTGTGATGCCAAAAAAAGAATTCCTGACTTTCTGCCACTCGTTTGTCTGATGATTTTTCTCTTCTCCTTTTTCTGCCCCACCATTTCGAAACCCTGATTTTTCTCTTACCTTAGGCCATGTCTTTGGGGAGATGAAATCATCTAGGATGTGTCTGGGGCTGATTTATGACTTTGCACCTTTAATCTCCACCCCATTTCTACAGTACTCTGCCTCAGTTATTAATGTATGATACAAACCACTAGTTTGGATTTGTAAAGTTATAATGAATAACGGGATAGCTGCGTCACTTCACAGTCACACAACTTTTGTTTTCTCATTTAGAAACAGAATGAACTCAAAATAATGATAATCAAAATCATGCACAGGAACACACAGACATTCAATGACACAAATCCCATGATAACATGCAGACCCTACAGCTTCACCCTGCTTTTTCCCTGCTGTATATATGTTAGTAAGCACAAGAGTGTTTGAAATCTAGTAACCAAATCAAAAACTGGTAAAAACAAAGTGGTGAGTACGTTTAGATGGGTAAAGGAGAGCACAGAAAGTCAAACCCCGTCCCTCTGTTACCCAGCATGTGCCAGCAGGGTACGGCAGAGCAGCCAGGTGGGGGAAAGAAAATAAACAATTACAGATAATTTGAGAACAGAATCACAGAATCAATGACATAATCTACCGCTTGGTGTGACAGCGTCAGATTTTAATACAAGGTGACCCGTGGATTTTGCAGGGTAGCAGAAAGGACGTCGCAGGGACTCATTTACATGTGGCATTTCTAGAGGAACAAAGCGTTTTGAAAGTCTGCAGGTGTCAGGGAAGGCAGCGTGACCTACAGCACGGAGGGGCTGGGGCTCCCTTGTCACCCTAACACAGCCAGGACACTAGAATGGGACTTGATTCTAGGCACTGCCAACGTATAGATCTGCTTAGGGCAAGGCTGCTCTAAATAATGAAACTGAAATGAGTTAGCAACAAACCTGGAGGGAAAAAAAACAAGAAACACTAAACTTGATGGGACAATGACTTAATGGGAACCTCCCAGGCTTGTGTGCTTCCTGCTGGCCAGGCTTTGAAGGAGCAGCATCCTTCAGCAACAGAGAAACACTGTCAAACGGAGCTATAAGTATTTTAACAGGGAAACCCTTTGGACAACACAAAGAATTAAGCAGGAAAGGCAACAGCTAGATAGAAAATCAGGACTTTTCAGTTCTGTTTTGTACCCCTAAGGAGGATCACAGATCTTAAGCTTCCTGACAAGATTTGAAAAAAAAAAACAAAAAACCAGCCACTTTTTATGAAGAAAGCTGGGATTGCAGCTTGTTTGATCGTGCAGAATGCTGCTTCTGGCCTTGGATATTCCCAAAGTTAAAATCAGCCCAAAATTCAATGAGGAAAAAGGAGCAAAGTTACATATCAAAGTAATTCCTACCAAGCGTGGTATCTTGGTCCATCACGCTTTTCCTGGATCCCAGCGTCATTCTCTAGTCTGCACAGGGCTGAGTTGAAGCCTACCTGGTTCCTGAGACATGACATTTTAGGATAATCAAGGGCTTTCACAGTAACTGGACTTGATTTGCCCAGATTTGGAAATCTCAGCTCTGACCACGTGGTTTTCTCTTCTAGTGCAAGGTACAGCCCCCAACACAAGCGGGGAGGGACTGAAGCCCCTGTTGCTGTTTGCTTGTATCACAGCTGTGAGAACAACCCCCGTGCTGGGCTTTGTGTCTGCCTCACGCTGTCTACTTGGAAGTCAAAGCAAACACTGGAAGGAAAACAGGCCTTTTTTTTATCCACCTAAACCAGATCTGGTTGATAAACTCATTATCAGATGCAAAACCACAGTTAAATTAACTGTCTCCTGCACTAATCTTGTATTTGGACTGTCAGCCTTTGGGATGAACGGATGAATCCTGTTTTATATTTAAATAAGCATTAGTGTAAACACCCCAAATTTTGATGAGTCTGGTGATACTGGCATAAAAACACAGTATGTAACCCACACGTCTGATTTTAGAGGGTGAATTCAGGCATTGGGATCTGAAGGGAAGAAAGGTGATGAGACAGAGAATAAACCAGCCTGCCTGCTGCATTTGCCAATGGCTTTTTTCCCCCATCGTGGCCCCAGTGACCCCGGGCTCACTGGTATGGAAAAGGGTGGACCCACATCTCTACCCGTTCTCCTCCCACCTTCCTGTTCCCTCCTTCCCTTGCATCAATTCTGGCACTTCTCTGACTCCCGGCTCACACCCTGGCAGCAAACCAATCCCAAATCCCAAAGGGGGAAAAGAAAGCAGTAGTTTTCTGCTCGTTTAGTGGCCAGGAATGTGTCTGGGAGCAGTAAAACTGCTTGGGTTTGGCAGCAGAAAGTCGTCGGTGTGGCTTCTGCCTGGGGAAGCCTCAGCCCCAGCTCCCCAGGCAGCTGAGGAAAAGCAGTGAGGTTTTGGGGAGAGCCTGCAGAGGGGGAATCTGAGCTCCTCACCTCCCTCTGGAGGGAACACTGAACCCCCAAGCACTGGGGGGTCTCTGGTACCTTTGAAACCTTGGGCTTCGCAGGAGAGCGATGTCTGCCACAAACCAGGTACCTCTTCCTGAGAAATCCCACTCTCCCAAGAGGAGGAAGCAGCTGTCTCGCAGGGGCCGGGTAAAACAAGCTGGAGAGTTTGTCAACAGGAAATCCCAGTCTCCAAAGTTACGGTTAAAATTATACTTCCTTCTCCAAATATACCTGAACAAGAAATACTTTCTTCCTACTAACATAACCCTGCATGAAAAACGCCCGAGGTTCATGGTTAAAAGATGTTCTACTCTGCAGGAGATTCAAAGGCCTCAAAACCCCTTCCAATTACTGACATCTTTTGGATTTGAGTACGTTGAAGGGGAAGAATGACACTTTTAGAAGAAAACAAATCTTCCAATCAAAGAAAGACGAACGAGACCTATCACCATTTCCAAAAAATTTCCATTTTTTTTCTTGGTTAAAAAAGGGGGAGTGAATTAAAATTCTTCACTTAAAAGCCAATTCCAGAGAAATGAGGTAAAAACCAGATGGATAAAGCGCTTTGTGAGATGCCTGGATCTGCCTGGGCATCTTAAGCCTCAAACACGAGCTCAAGCTCTTGCCGTGAGGGATCGATCTACACCAGAGGCATCACTGCTCCTGGTCACCAGTGAAGACTATTTAGGGGTGAGAGGTGGTCTGTATAAACTGCATTTGTAAGGAACTAGCTGGGTTTGTTCTTCCCCATTTTTGTTTTGTTTTTTAATTATTTTTTGGGTTTATTTAGCTCAAGCCAGTCTATATGGCTGGAAAAAGCAGATAAGGGTTGGTTTATTTTGCCTGAATGAGCCTGCCTCTATTTTCCTGGGCTACCACAGAAAGACTTCATCTCACCTTAAGCACCATGGGCTGGCACTAGAACAGCCCCTGTCACAGCACAGCCGGAGAAGAGAGTGATGGTGACACCGGGCATCACCCACGGCCCTGCCTACTGACACCACCAAAAGGATCTAACCCAAGAAATCTGTCACCACGGAAAGACTGGTTTCCATCAGGCCCCTGGGAAACATTAAGAAAAAAACCTTTCTCCAGTCTCCCCTAATCAGCAAACACAGTGTTCTCTCTTTGCTACAACAGGAGAAATTTACCATTCCATTTTCAAGAGGTAAAAAAAGCCAAGTGAAGCGGCTCTGTGGGTAACGTACCGCTCGTACCAAGCTATTCCGCTGGGAAAAAAGTCCTCCCCAGATGGACACGAAAAAAAACCACAAGAGACAAACTAGATCCTTTTATGTGTCCCTTTAATAAAATACATTTGCATAGTTATCTTACAACTTTGTTTAAAAACAAAGATGAACAGTTGCCTCATGCTAAAGCACAGCCTGCATTTGCACGTCTTAACAATCATCCTCAAACACGGATACTCTAGCGTGGAGAGAAGAAGGAGAGAGTTTAAGGCAGCACACACCGTTACGTAGCAGTTTTATTAGTTGGTTACATGAAAGCAGCACGACCCTGCAGCAGCTCCCAACACAACTGCAGGCCGAGGGCTGGGGGCATTCCTACAAGCAGACTTATTTACAGGTGTTTTCAACCCGACCCCAGAACATCACGATCACGCAGGGATACGATCTGCCCAAGCATGGAGATGGCGTCAATATTCCATGACTGGTAGGAGATTCGATTATTAGGGTGTAACGTTTCTGATGGAGGTTTTTGCCCTCTGCACTCCTAACTGTGATGTTATTAACGCTGATGTTGTGTGCTCTCACAGCCCTCCACCATGGCTGCCCACTCACACCCCGGCCCCGCAACCGGCTCTCGGTGGAGGCACCGCTTTTCCTGCCCAGATCCGGCTGCTGGGCTCCCACAACTGTACTTTTGTGACACTACACTTTTGTAGGTGGGTCAGTCCCTCATGCAGACGGGACAGTGACAGAATTAGAAGTGGTTCAGTACCTGTTCTTGTGCACTGACAGCACCGTTGACGTTCTCACCCCCAATGATGGCCCCTGTCCTCTGCTGGGACACGGTATGAAGCAAGACCAGCAGTTCTGGCTGCAGGTTGAAACGTTAGCCTTGTGTGGCTCTGAGCAATGCTCAGACCCTCAGCTCTTCCCTGGGGACTATTCTCTATCACTCAATATATTCTCTACCTCGTCCTTGGTTCCAAAGCCAAGCTTTTTAACCCAAATAAGGGCTGAACGCTTCAAACGCTCCTTCTGCTGGGCTGGCTGGGGCTCTATGGGCTTGT